TCCCCAGCCCGCAGGCTGGCTGGGGAATTCTGGGAGTTGAAGTCCACACAGCTTAAAGTTGCCAAGGTTGAGAAATACTGGTCTAGCTTTTCCTTAATTACCTTGAAAATGCGTTAAGTATATACTGTAGTGCTGTAAATCTGTCATAGTGTCTTTGATGCCTAGAGCTGGGGCCATCATTGTCCAATTTGTTACTGAACATGTCTCCCTTCCTGTCTCTCTCCCTCCCCCCCCATTTTGCCTCCCTCTATCAACCTATCTAAACCCAGTGCTGAACCAGGAGATTTTGGGAGGCAGTGGGTCAACTCTTACTACTTTAGGGAGGGTTAAAGGCTGCAGAGTGTGGCACAGTGATGCTAAATGGTCAGAGACATGCCACACCACAGGGAAGAGCAGGATGTTTAGATGTTTCCCCCCTGTTTTTTGTGGGGAATTTGTGGGGAAACACTTTCTCTTATTTTCTTTTTTAAGTAAAGTAAACCTTTCATTGCAATTTCCATGTAGGGCTTTCACTGCAATTTCCATGTGGTGTCTGCTTCAGTTGGTGGGAAAGTGCTAATTTTCCATGGTTGGGGTTAGGAGCGGCTCTGTGAGATCTCACACAAGGGCTAACTCAAGGTGCACAATCTTTGGAGCAGAGGTATTGAGAACAGGAGATGTGTGAGTACACACAACAGGAAGCGTGTCTGTACATAAAATGGTCAACATGGTAGACCATGGCCAGCCACAAAATGCCTGTTGATAGAATATGTCCTCCCTCCCTGGGATGTTCTCTGTCTTCACAGTCCTACTTTTGTGAGACCCCAAGATGTTGTTTCAAATAAATACGATGCTATCTGCAGCATGCCAGCTGCCTGCTCCGTTCCTTTGACTTAAATAATTTTTAAAATCAAGTTAGGTAGGAGAAGGAACTTGGTATCACCAAGGGAGGTGTCTGTGACATGTGGGTGCCACCGCGTTGCTTATCTCTGTCCTAGACTCTTCCTCACTTTGGTCACTGTCCTTGAAAGTTTTTCAGGTTTTTCCCTGTAAAAAGCTTTGGGTTTTTATAGCAATGGGTAAAATTTGTTTTGGCTCTGGAAAACCACAGTGGTTGGCAATGGAGCACTGATACATAAACTATCCAAGAAGGTTTCATGGGTCTTCTCCAGCGCTGACCTCAGTGTTCATTTATTTAATGCTGTTGACATTCCAAGGCACTGGTGATAGTTTGTGGCTGGGAAATCCAGGGGCATGAGGACCATGAAGCACTGACTTTTGCTTTATAGCAACTAAGCAGTACTGTAGAATATTTATCTCCTTTAGTTTAGCTTGGGTTATGCTCTCTTCCCTTCTGAATTTCTATGCCTCAGTTAGCCTTTCTCAAGGGACCCCCCCTTTTCCTCTTTCCCTGCCAAAAAACAGGGAGAAAAATTGGGGGGTTTAATCTAGGACAGTGTTTCTCAACCTTAGCAAATTTACGATGTGTGGACTTCAACTCCCAGAATTCCCCAGACAGCATGCTGGCTGGGGAATTCTGGGAGTTGCAGTCCACACATCATAAAGTTGCCAAGGTTGAGAAACACTGATCTAGGAAAAAGGTGAGAAAAGAGGACCTATGAGGGTCATCAGGATTTTTCTTCTTCCTCCCTCATCAAACATAGCCCCAACTCATCTAAGGATGCAGAACAGGAGAGCAGGATCAGATCACACTTTGACAATCTTAAGGAAAATACTCTTTTATTGAAATGCTTATATAGAATTTTTACAAATTAATGTACGCATGTACTGTATGCTTTTCTTTCTTTTTCTGTTTTATAACTTTGTGCACTGTTTCTTTTTTTCTTTTTTTTTACTCTATTCAATAACAGCAAGACATTGTTTAAAGTTATAAGTGGATAGTAATAATAGTAACTATACTGGACCATCTGTAACAAAGATCTCCTGGTGGCATTCACACAACATATTTAATTGGGTTACTGAATGAACCCATTGTCTGGATCCATATAATACTTTGAACTATCAACGAACCATACAAGCTGGATTTCTGCATCAGACTAAGCCTGCACAAGTACAAACTAACCAAGCTTAGCCCCCAACTTAGCAAGTTGCACAAAGGCACTTGACTTGATGAAGGATCTTGTGTGAACACAACCCAGGGAACCTCAGTCACTGAAGAACAACACTGGGAGAGGTCAGACCAGCCTGTGTGGTTGATTGATGTGAGGTATGAACCCAGCATGAACCCAGACAATGCATTAGAGTTAACTGAGCATTTCCAAAGAGCACTGAAGTGCATTTGATGGGGAACCTTTGCGGTAGAAAGTAACTTTAACTGTCAGCAGATGGCACTATTGCTATATTTAAATCTAGCATGATGACTGCTTCTGAAATGCAAAGCAGGAGTGAAGGAAACCTTCCTGATTTCCAAGTTTGTTCTGTCTTGAACCTGATCCCACTCCTCTCTGCTCTAGGTGAGGCCAGTGGGAAAACAGCTGACCTTTCAAAGGCCTTTCAAGGATAAAACCAAAGTAAGATCCTACTTTATGGGGCGTTACAGTTGCAGTTGACCCCTTTGAAATGAATGAAGAACTGCACAGATTGGGTCATTCAGGCAGTGACCTTGCGTAGATGAACACAGTTTGTGCCAAAGACGTTCCCGCTAGACCAGGGATGACCCTCTGTTGTGCAACCGCTCATCAGAGCCTGGGAGAAAATTCCTCAGATTAAAAATACAACAAACCTTGATTTAACTAATGGAGGGAAAGTGTGCTGGTTACACCCAAATGTCTGTGAAACGGCATTTGGGATATTATGCATGCGTAACATCATTTACATCTCATGACATTTACCGTTGCATAAAACAATGAAAGAATGTTGCCCGTTGCATCTGATGTCCGCTAAACACGGTCCTATAAATCAAGAGTTGACTGCATGGCCAAACTCTCATGCAACTTCATGAGTTGATGCACTATGTTGACCATGTTAAATGTTTGGATTTGATTTTATTTATTTTATTCTGAAATTTTAGGGAACTGCAGGCTCCTTTTCTGACCACAAAGGGTGCCTATGTCTGCATCAGATTCTCCTGTTTTTAAAAAGGCTCCCAGATCATGCTCTTCAACATTTAACAGACAAAAATAGAGATATCCTTGCGCTGCCTTGATTCTCACCCCACAGAGCGCTGCCTATGCCCTATGAGGCTCCTTCAAAAACACATTCACTGCTCAGTCCCTTTTCTCAACAGCAGATTGCACCAGTACCTCACTGCCCTGGCATTTCCAAGGTTTGATCACTCAGCTCTGGCATTATCTGATCCAGCCCAAGATTTAAACAGCCTAGAGTTGATCCTTTGTATATTTCAAAACAACCAGTTCTTCCTGCTTAAGGCGAGACCGAGCCATGAATTGTTGACTTTATTGTTCTTGTCTTCATCCGACTACAACAGCCTTGACTGATCACTTGATAGATTCCCTGGGGATGTGGCTGGTTCATAGCAAAGCTGACTGGGGAATTCTGGGAGTTGAAGTTCACACATCTTAAAGTTGCCAAGGTTGAGAAACACTGCCTTAGAGTTCCCTTTAGTTCTGGCTAGGATTCTGGGAGCTGATATACAGTACAAGTGGGTTGTGTTCAGACAAGACATCTAATTTAATTAACCAGTTTTCTGGATTCAAATAGCATCCTGGAGCAGAAACCAACCAAGTGGGTCTGGTTTGCATATCGGTCTAGACCACCTACACAAGATTAAAACTATCAGCTTAGCATGTTGTGCAATGTACAGTAGCCTCTAGGCTTGAACTGACTTGGGGAAGCATGTTGTGTGAATGTATCCACAGTCTGCCTTTGATCAATTATGTGCCATCAAGTTGGTGTCACCTCTTAGTGACCACGTAGACAGATCTTCTCCAGGATGAAGAACCTGCTTTACAAATTAGCCAACCCTCCCATGAAACAGGAACTTGAGAACCAAGCGCAACTTGATGTGTTTTATTTTTCCTCCCCCTCTGCACAATTATTTCCAGCAGGCCTCAAGGGCTTAATGTTTTTCTTTCCTACCCACAATCCTCATGACACCACTTTGGAGCTATAGATCTGGGCTGCAAAGCTCCAGACAACCAGGAGATGGAAAAAAAATTAGAGTTGTCTGTATCGGCTACTTGTAGTCCTCCATATTCTTGCAGCCCAGACAGAGTAGACTGAACACACTTCTACTGAGTAAGTTGTAAGGGCAATCCATGGAAGCGTCTTTTGTGAGACTAACAACAAGCATGAGGGATGGATTTTCAGATGCACTTTCATTCTCCTCTGAGAAGGACATGGTAGCATGTCTCATAAAAGGCCTCCAGGAGGTTCATTTGAGTTGTGAGCAATAGGTCGCTCATGTGAGCTATAAAACCCATGTGTTGTTGTAATTTATAAACATTTTTATTGAGATTTAAAAACATTACAATGTAACCATGTTCTTGAAAAACATTACATTGCATATTAAAAATGGTTAATACCAAACACGAGCCATAACAACCATAGAACTATAGAACTGATACGGGGGGGCGGGTTCCCCTAGACTACTTTATAGTAAATTACAGGTAGTCCTTGCTTAATGATGGTGATTGGGACTGGCAGCTCCATTGCTAAGCAACATGGTCGTAAAGCCCAATGTCACATGACCATGCCAACTTATGACAGCAGTTGTGACAGTCCCAGTTGTCATCATAGGGCAAATCCCGTGCAGTCACAGTGTCCCGCAATCATGGGATCACCATTTGTATCCTCCTGTCGGCTTCCCCATTGACTTTGCTTGTCAGAAGCCAGCAGTGAAGGTGGCAAATGGTGATTACGTGACTGGGAGACACTGCAGCGTCGTAATTGCGAGCCTGTTGCCAAGCAACTGAATCGCGATCACATGACTGCAGGGTCACAGCAACGGCCGCAACTACAAGGGCCCTTTGTAAGTCCCCCTCATTCAGCGCCATCATAACTTCGAACGGTCGCTGAACAAGTGGTTCAACAAGGACTACCTCTATATGCTTAAAAAGAAAAACCTGAACTAAAGTGATGTTTTTAAAAAATGAGAAAAAATATCATGAAAAAAATAAGCCTTTCCAGTCCAGGGTATTGTACTGAGACTATGTAGGTCACACTTAGGGTTGATTCTTGGTGAGACAGGAATAGGGGGAATGTGAGCCTTCTGGCACAGCTTGATCTCCCAACAGCTTTCAATACCATTAACCATGGTATCCCCCTAGCTGCATCTGAGAGTTGAGATGGGGAACCAATATCTTGCAGTGGTTTCCTTCCTTCTTAGGGGACAGTTCTGTTCAGTGGTTGGGGGAAGACGTCATGCCCTGCTACAGGATTCAGCACCTTTTCTACTCCTTTTCCACATTGACATGAAACCTCTGGGGTTATTCATCCATCAATTTGGGCTTAGGTAACATCAGTATGCTGATACCGAGCTTTCTTTCTCCAAACAGGTGATACTGCTGAGATTCTGTCCAGGGCCTGGAGGCTGTTAGAATCTGGATGGGGAAGAACAAGCTTAGATTCAATTCCAGCAAGACAGAGTAGCTTTGGAGGAGGAAGCCATCCAACTCCTGAAATATTCCATCTTTAGTTTTGGAGGGGGGCACCGTCTGATGTGGCAGTTAGGGCCTTTCTTGGAACTCGGGGTCCTTCTCTCAATCCCTTATGCCTTGCTCATTTCTTATTTGGACTCTGCTGTGTGCTCTACAAGGGGCTGGCCTTGACCTTTGGAAGGTACAGCTGGTCCTAAAGACTGAGTACTGCTGGGTGTTTCACGATCTGTGCATGGAACTCCTTTGCTTCAAGAACTGCCCTGGTTATCAGTTGGCTTCTGGGTGCGATTCAAGGTTTTTTTGTTGCCAACTTTAAAATCCTTCATGGTTCAGGATCTAGATATCTTCAGAGCCACTTCCTTCTGACTGTTTTTGCCCATCCGACATGAACCTGTAGAAAGGGCTCTGTTCAGGCCTCTCCACTCAGAGACTGCCACCATCAGAAATTGCCACTGGGTAGCCCTGACCTTGCTAAATCTTAGAAAAACCATCAAAACCTGGTTTTCTCAGCAGATCCTGGGAGGAGAAATGTTGTAAACTGTTCCCTCTTGTAACTTGGGCTTTAACTGAAGTGGAGTTATTTTGTTCATTATTTATTTATTTAAATTTACCTGGTATTTAAATTTATTGGCTGCCCAGCTCCAATGGACTTTTATTTATCTCTGGCACTAAACTGTGTTTTGTACTATATCTACTCAATATAGTATTGAAAATAGGGTTTGTAAGCTATTCAGCATTAATTGATGTAACGTAGAAACCCAGTCCAACCATCCATACATCCATCCATACAGTACTGCACAAAAGTTTTAGGCAGGTGTGAAAAAATGCTATAAAGTAAGAATGCTTTCAAAAATATATATTGTAATTGTTTATGTTTACCAATTTACAGAAAATAGGGTTTGTAAGCTATTCAGCATTAATTGATGTAACGTAGAAACCCAGTCCAACCATCCATACATCCATCCATACAGTACTGCACAAAAGTTTTAGGCAGGTGTGAAAAAATGCTATAAAGTAAGAATGCTTTCAAAAATATATATTGTAATTGTTTATGTTTACCAATTTACAAAATGTAAAGTGAGCAAACAGAAGAGAAATCCAAATCAAATCAATATTTGGGGTGATTACCCTTTGGCTTCCAAACAGTATCAATTCTTATATTTGCACACTTTGTACACTTGCACAAAGTCAGGGATCTTGTAGGATTAGAGTCAGGTGTCCTCTTACATTGCCCGTTTCTTTGTGCTTCTTCAAAAGAGCTTGAACAGCACATCTTGAAACCCCAGTTTGCTTTGAAATTT